GGTTGGATATTCCCCCCCCCCCCCCCCCCATTCGACAGCGGGCCGGGACGACGAGTAGGTTACATACCGACCGCCTAGCGCAGGCACGTACCACCCTAGAGCTTGCCGAGGCGCGAGGACGCGTCGTTTCCCTCGCGGTACCGTCGTGGAAGAGACGGAGGTTTTCCCGAATTCAGAGGACCTGATGCCCTTGAAGGAGCAAGGACCCCTTCGTCGTCCGTCAAGGAGCGCTCTCCATCTCCGGAGCGCTTCGCCGCGCCGAATGCCGAGTGTCGAGGAACCCGAGCAGCTTTTTCATTGTTGGTTTTGTACATTTGTAGTTAGGAACAGAAATGCAGGATTTTATTTTATTGTCACCGAATCCCCTTTGATCTTATTTCCACCCGAACCCCACAATGGGCTACAACCCCGTACCACTGTAACAATATCAACCCAGTCTTATCGTCCCAAAGCACTAAAAAAAAAACGCTTGAGAGGCTCACAAGCACGAAAAAGTCAGATAGAGAAAGCTGAAGCCCAATCATCGAGGCTCCACGACCCCAGCGCGGGGAAATGAGGGATCCAGCAGATCAAATCTGCACCGTCTCGAACTTAGACAAATAACGCTACCACGCAGAAAATTCGCAACAGACTTCCACCGACTTTTGCATGTGCAAGGGAGAGATAGCAAGCCTTGGCGCAGGTTCGATCGCATCAAGCGAAAAAAAAAAGGTTCACTCCTCCGCGGTGCTCAGAGCGGCCTCCACCTCGTACTGCGACTCTCGTTGGTGAAGGTGCGAAGGCGATCGGTGCGTGAAAGCGATCGGTGCGTGAGGATGGCAGTCGTGAAGCAGCAGCCCATTCCCATCGCGTGGAATATGATGGGTTTGGCACTTTTTTTTTCACCTTTTCACTTCTTTCAAAAATGATTTTAAAAATTCTCCTTTTCTTTTATGATTTGCGGTGCAGTTGCTTCTTGTTCTGGTGCAAGGCATTTCTGCATTTTAAAATGAATTGTTTTTTTTTTTAAATAAATATTTTTCAAATTTAAGTCGTATCATGCTTTCAGGAGCCGCTTACATTGCTGCAAAAGAAAAGAGGAAATGTTTTAGTTCGACTTGTGTCATGTGCGAATTTATCATCCAAATCTATAAATGATTTAGGATTTGCTATGATGAGATTGGGTCGGGGATTTGCAAAATGCAACCACGATGACCTGATTTTACTTCCATTTGAAATTTGCAACACTGCATTGCATAAAGAAGCAAATTTATAAACGTATTTTGCAAAGAAGGCACGAAGATTTATCAGTACAGCGCATATGCCGATTCCCTCGCATGATATGAACCTGGGGAGGCGGAACAAGGCTTAAATAATTAAATGACGGTCCTTAAAGAGGGCAAGCGGAAAAGAGGGCGTGACGAGAAACCATCTTATATTAATAAGTTGATGACGTCGCCATGACAACATCCCAAATCCATCGATTTGCTCTCATAATGGCACTATTATCCTCGCATGACTTATCTTTCAGGGGGGATCCCAGTTTTGCCCAAAGGACTGACCGAATGTGAGTCCTCGAAATGATGAATCTGAATCCTTTGGCAAAAAATGAGCAAAGCAAAATTTAAGCAAAAATTTTACTGGTTTTTAGCGAAGGATGAGGCCACCGACGTCCCGCCGGGCATGGACGTCCTGCTCGACCTCACCCACGTCGTCGTTCAGCAGAAGATCGAATGGTTCCAGAGTGAGTGATTGAGGGCCTCGAGGGCCTCGAGGGCCTGGGATGGGATGTGCGGAGGTTCTCCTGCATTGCAGATTTTTTTTGTTCAAGTGGGTTTAAAAGGGTGTTAAAGGTATTAATGATAATACCAGCTTCTTCGTCAAAATTGTCGTAATTTAGTTTTTTTTTCTCAGTCGCCGACACGAATATTTTTCAACCTCGTTTCTGATGCTGGCAGTCCTGACGGGATGCGAGACGCGGAACCAATATTGGCTGAAGACCACGGAGGGGGAGGAGCTGTATCACGCGAAGGAGGATTCCAACTGCTGCCTCCGCCTCGGCTGCGGCTCTCTCAGGCCCTTTACGATCGCGTTGAAGAACAAGAACGAGCAGGAGGTGCTTCGCTTGGAGCGGCCGCTCAAGTGCACGGGGTCGTGCTGTCCGTGCTGCCTGCAGGTTTGAGTCTTCTAGGTGCTTTTCGTTTTCGACGATCGATGATCGAAGCTGGGAATGGGAGAATCCGGGCTTTTCGGTCAAACGGGCACAAAGAGGGGGAGGGAGGGAGGAAGCGTCGATTGGTGGACGCTTCCTCCGAGATTGCGCTTCCTTTCGAAGCACGATCAAGGAGTTTAAAACCGAGGTCGGAAATTTCACAAACGGATTCCTTTCACTCCTTCGTCCTGAATTCCTTGAGATGGAAAATAAGTCATTCAAAGCTGCGGGGGAGACGGGGGTAAAATGAAGAAAACTTCATCTTCCATTTTCATTAAGTTTTCTTTCACCTTTCCTTCACAGAGCGGAAATGAATCCTCAAAGGAAGAATTCCCCCTTCCCCATCCCTCTCCCTACTTCGATATCAAAGGTTTTCTCCTGCGAAATTCACCGCTAATTCATCACCGTCGCATCAGATCGACTGAGTTTAGTAACGAATCAATCCCGAAAGAGTAGTTCTCACCTTTTGCCTCGATGGGGAAAGGTCAGTCACAGACCGATCTGAGACCGCGACGGACCGGTCAAAGACCGTGAGACTGCGTTGGACGTGTCCGCTGGTCCGCGTTTTTTGCGACCCCCGATCGGAATCATCCAAGGTACTTCTTCCATGGTACCGAGGAATTCCTCAAAAAATGTCAAAACTTTACGGTGACCAGGCAGGGTTTGTGGGGACAGTCCCGATTTCCGGCCACGGGATCCCCTTTCTCACCTTTCTCACTTTCTCATAATCCTCTTCTTTTTCCCTTTTTTTCTAGATCATAAATCATAAGCTTGTGCTTCCTTCGTAGGAGTTGGACTATTCTGAATTTAGAGGCCTCATGTAAGGCAGGGACAGAATGCCCGTTTGAAGGTTTTGCACTTTGTTCGTACCGCTATGAGGGGGGGGGGGGGGGGGGGGGGGGGGGGGGGGGGGGGGGGGGGGGGGGNGGGGGGGGGGGGGGGGGGGGGGGGGGGGGGGGGGGGGGGGGGGGGGAAGATGCAGGAGAGTTCTTCCCTCGTCGGAAACTTCTCGGACTTTTTCGACTTCCGAAGATGATATGTCTAATGGCGCCACAACGGTTTCCAAACCTCTAATGGTATCTAAGCCGATGCATTCGCTTACGTGTCTTCTACCTATTCCTATTATTCCTTAGGCCTGTGGAGGGGATGGGGGACCGTCGAAACGCATCGGAGAATTAATTTGGTCTTCGGGTTTCCAAGACAGCGGTGCGCTTAGCTGCAGATTGCTGCCACGTAATTGTTATCGTATGGGCGGGTCTTTTCGTAAAGGCCTTAATATATTCATTAGGGTCCATGCATTATTTCCATCGGTCTGCAGCTTTTTTCGTCGCGTGAATCGATCCGTCAATGACTCGAAATGGCCGGTGACTTTTTTTGTTTCCAAAGACGGTATGACGCCACAAAATCATTAATCTCACTTAATCTTCATTTTTTTTGTATGCCAAAGACCTTCCCGTGCTCCATGGATTTTGACAACATGAAAATTTGATGAGTCCCACGTTGCCTTTTCCCCCAATCCCAATCCATTCTGGCTCGGCGGTTTCCCAACTCCTGTTACGCAGGAGTTGGGAAACCGCCTCAAAAAGTTCGAGAATCATCGATCGTCTCAGGATATGTTTCATAATTTTTTTTTTTTTTTTTTGCAGACGCTCCGGGTGTACTCCGTAACGGGCGAGCACCTC